AAATGTGTACATTTTTTTCTTTTGTAGTTTTAAGGAGTTACTTTTATTTACTTGCTAGACGATGATTTACAGTAAAAGAATGATGATTTTCTTAAATGTAAGGAGCAAAGTAGTGTCTTTAGTTGTTACTGTCAAGACATTTTTCTAACTATGGAGATTCCCTATAAAGGACGTCACGTGATTAACGTTCTTTCTTATAGGACAAACATTTCTAGAATATCTCATCTTATGACCAATTTTATATAACTTTAATCTCTTTTATTGACATATTTTATTCTTTAAGGGATAGAATTTCCCTTTAGAGCTTTGGTTTTAGCTTTAAGCATTAGATTTTGAGTAAATTGTACAAATGGTCCCTCAACTTTAATCAAATTGGAGCAATGGTCCCTCAACTAAAAATCCATTACCTTTGGTCCCTCAACTTATCAAAACATGCAGCGATGGTCCCTCAACTAAAAATCCATTACCATTGGTCCCTGAACTTTAATTCAAGTGGAGAAATGGTCCTTTAACTTTAACCCAATTGTAACAATGGTCCTTCCAATATAACTCGTTTTGACAAATTTTTTGACATAGTTGACGAAAAGAACCATAATTATACACTTTGATGAGTTAAGGGACCCTAATTATATAAATGGTCATTCCAATATAGCTTATTTTGACAAAATTTTGACAAAATTGATGAAAATGACTATAGCTACACATTTTGATAAGTTGAGGGACCAATGGTAATAGATTTTTAGTTGAGGGACCATTGCTTCAATTTGATTAAAGTTGAGGGACCATTTGTACAATTTACTCTTAGATTTTAGAATCCGAGCGTAGAATCTTAGGGCTCGTTTGATTTCTAAATTGACTTAGCTTGGATAATTCATTAGATTCATTGAATTTTAAATAAAAATAAGAATACCAACTTGCATATTTTGTCGAAAGGAAGATAGAGAAGTCATGAAGAGAACTTGTCCCTCTCAATCCTACTATTTTTGTGGGGATTAGGAGGGAGAAGTATTCTTCTTTCTCCTCTTCTACCTTTACTTAGACAAAATGTGCAAGTTGACATTCATATTTTCATCCACTATTCATTGAATTTAATGAGTTGTCCAAGCGAAGCCAAACATAAACATCAAAGGAGGCCTTAAAGTTTAAGATTTAAACGGTGATTCTTGTCTTAAGACGATCAGCCGTGTTAATAAATAAGATCAAAGCTGAAAAAAAAAATGAAGAAGAGCAAACATGAAGTTTTCTCAACACATCACTGCCCAAAGAATAACTAGTGGTAATTATTTTGCTTCTTAATTTGGTCCCTGGATTGGCATGACAGTGTAGAAAGTTTAAATGCGTTTAGACTGAAAGCATGGTCAATAAGACTGGTTTTACGTTCATGACTGGGTATTTTTTCTTATGAAGTTACATCAAACGGATCGTCTAAATTATATGGTTTCTAATTCATGTTTTCAGTATAAAAAATTAGATTGTTTCTATGCAGCAACAATATAATTTACAGGAAGGAGGATTCGAACTTGAGAGTAAGAGATGAGGCGGGCACACTATCCTAATAATTTTGGTTTGTCAAATTAAAATTGTGTATCACCACAGGACTGAAATTAAATTTGGCCTAATGAATAACAATAACGAATTAATAGCCTATGCCTCACTGAGATAGTGTTGATTATGAATAATAATAAAGAATTAATAGCCTATGCCTAATTGAGGTTTGCAGATTTTGAGCTGTAGGTTTCATTGGAACATGGCAATAAGCAACTACCTCAACCCCTCATGAATTGCATCCTCTCCATTACGGTGGTAGGCGGCCACTTGCAAGGGCTAGTCAATTGTTGTCGCTTGAGTTTGTTTGTTATTCCGCTTGGCCTTATCTTGTAGTGAATGTTGTACTATACTTGCAATAGTTTATACTTCAACAAACTTTGATGGCAACATTTTTTTTGTAATTTACTCAATTTTTATTTCAATCATTTACTTGTAGGATAAGCTAGGCCTAGTAGATTGGTTGAGAAAGTGCATTTAACTTGGGCAAAAACACCTTTTTTTTTATTTTTTATTTGGGATTGTGTAATGTGTATGTGAGTAGAATATAATAATATCCTTAGGTGAGAGCGACCTTTTGGGTGTTAGATTGCGGGTCTATGAAAATGAACTCCAAAGCTTGATTCAACCCCAATCTTTGGTTGGTTAACCACATCATATTTATTTCTATATGAATCATCATAATATATGTCATTTAGTTCATTTCACTTTCAGATAGAACGTGCTGCTTACGTTATTTTTATAATAATCACACAAATGTAAATATGTGTATATTTGTCACATTCAATATGAAAATGAATCATCATAATCTATGTCCTTTAGTTCTTTTCACTTTCAAATAGAACGTGCTGTTTACGTTATTTTTAGAATAATCACACAAATGTAAATTTATGTATGTTTGTCACATTCAATATGAAAGTTGTCTTAAGTACATTTTTATAAAGTTTTTCTTCTATTGACACGTTATTTGATGAATATAAATTATATAATTGATAGAGTCAAACTTTCTTCTAACCCTATTTAAATTTTTTGTGGGGTAATAGGAGCTTGGATTGGGACAAACCATGTGGCATAAAATGTGCAGAAGAAACCACACCAGTTTAGAACATGACAACCCCATGGGAAGTGGCTCAAATTATTCGAGAAAAATGCAATTTTTTTCATTTTTGCGAAATATTTTTGTCATGTTAAGAAAAGCTTTATAAAGCATTTGAAAGTGGTTTTACAATTTACTAAGCCACAAATATATATTTAATAGAGTACTTATGCCAAAAACTGAAAAAATAAATGGACAAATATGGTATTGGGGCCCAAAACATTGCCGAAACGAAACTCCATCCACAATAATATCAACAAAATTCTTCCATGAACTTTCAAAACCTCATGGTACGGTGCAGGTGAAAAAATATATATTTTATGAAGATTTTTGTAATTTTGCAAACAACCTAAAAATCGTGATGGTTAGCCCACATTTTTGAGAAAAATCTAAACTTTTTTATTTTTGCGAAATATTTAATGTGGTCATTAAGAGATGCTTTGTAATAGGAGCTTGGATTGGGACAACCCATGTGGCATAAAATGTGCAGAAGAAACCACACCAGGTTAGAACATGACAACCCCATGGGAAGTGGCTCAAATTATTCGAGAAAAATGCAATTTTTTCATTTTTGTGAAATTTTTTTGTCATGTTAAGAAAAGCTTTATAAGGCATTTAAAGAGGTTTTACCATTTATTGAGCCACTAATGTATATTTAATAGAATATTTTATCAAAAAATTAAAAAATAAATGGAAAAAAATAGTGGTGGGTCCCAAAACATTAACGAAACTATTCTCTATCCTTAAGAATATTAACGAAAAGTTTTAAATGAATTTTCAAAACCTCAAAGTTTTTTGAACAGTTTTTTAAAACCGCTTAAAAACCATGATGGTTAGACTATTATTTTGAGAAATGCAATTTTTTTATTCTTGCTAAATATTTTCCGTCATGTTTAAGGAAAACTTTATAAAAAATTTAAAAGCGGCTTTGCCATTTATTGAGTCACAAATGTATATTCAATAGAATATTTTATCTGAAAACTAAAAAAATAAACGGGACAAAAATAGTACTGAGACCCAAAACATAGCAAAATAGCACTCCAGCTACAAGAATATCAACAAAAGGTCTTACATAAGCTTTCAAAACGTCATGGTGCAGTGAAGGTGAAAACATATAGTATTTATGACCATTTTTTAACACTTTTGCAAAACTGCCTAAAAACCGTGATAGGGTTAGCTCTTTTTTTTTTTTTTGAGAAAATGCAAAATTTTATTTTCGAGAACATTATCCATTATGATTAACAGTAACCTTTTAAGGCAATTGAAAGATATTTTACTATTTGTTGAGCCCCAAATGTATTTTTAATGGAGTAATTAAGACAAAAACTGAAAAATAAATGGACAAAAATTGTTAGGATTGGAATAAGCTAATCCAGGTTGTGGATGTAAGTGTTGCAAGGAAAATATGTAGTATTTGTTTCTCATTTCGCCCATTGAATTTCCAATGATCTTCTCATCTGGACTTCTAGTTTGAATACCCATTCGCAACAAACAAATGGACTTCATTTCTTTGTACATATGCATATGTGATCTCTTAACAACTTTCGTACCACAAAACTAATTTCTCAGAGTCCTAGTAAGTGGTGAATTACATACTTATAAGAGTAGGCCATATACTTTGTCCTGTCAACTAACCTTCGTTATTTGTAACCTACCAAGTCTCAGAATGGTAGGTGGTCAGTTACAAACTTACAAGAGCAGGGAGTTCTATAAATAACATGTATGCGAGGAGGAAAAACTAAGCAAGAAAATGGGAACTGAAATTATTCCCACTCATATGTTTCTTGTGTGTTTTCCAGGACAGGGACACATAAACCCTATGCTCAGATTAGGCAAACGCCTAGCTGCAAAGGGGTTTTTGGTCAGCTTCTCCACCACTGAAAACTTTGGCAAGGAGATGAGAGCAGCCAACAGTGGCATCAGTGATGAACCCACACCTGTGGGCGACGGTTTTATCAGGTTTGAGTTTTTTGACGATGGTCTTCCAGAACAGGACCCTAAACGCACGGACTTCGACTACTACATGCCACTGCTTGAACTTGTGGGCAAGGATTTGGTAACCCAGATGATCAAACGGCATGCCAATGAAGGTCGTCCAGTTTCATGCCTTGTGAACAACCCATTCATTCCGTGGGTTTGTGACATTGGCACTGAGCTTGGAATCCCTTGTGCCACGCTTTGGGTTCAGTCGTGTGCTGTGCTCTCGGCTTATTACCATTATCACAGCAAGACAGTGCCATTTCCGACGGAAACCGAGCCAAATTTGGATGTTCAGCTGCCAAGTATGCCGCTTTTGAAGCACGATGAGATACCCAGCTTCTTGCACCCTTCCGACCAATTTCAGGTGAGCGTACACTATACACGGAAATGATCTCTTATACTTATGTACATGCAGATTGTCAGTCTATACCACAAATTTAGGCAAGAATCAACTTGATCAATGGTTCAAATTCCACAGTCTAGCATCATAAGTACCTTTTGCATGGATAAACAGTCAAGGAAGCGATCATTTCCCACTTTTTATGCTACCAAAACAGTTTATAAAGTTTTAGAACAGAACTACCATGTTTCATTTGTTCATAGTATTTAGTCTAGCTAATTTGAAACTTATGTTATTCTTTCTACTATGTTGGGAAAAGGTACCCTGTATGAATTTCCACATAGACCTAAGGGGAAAAAAAGTTGATACCTTAGAATTAGCAAATATTTTTCAGGTTTTCGGGAGGGCGATTTTAGGCCAGTTCAAGAGGTTATCAAAATCAATGTATGTGTTGATAGACACGTTCCAAGAGCTCGAGCCAGAGGTCATCGAGCACATGTCCCAGTTCTGCATGGTGAAGCCCGTTGGCCCCTTATTCAAGAACCCAAAACCTCCCAAAACAACCATAAGTGGAGACCTAATTAAAGCTGATGATTGTCTCGAGTGGCTCGATTCCAAGCCTCCAACATCTGTTGTATACATCTCTTTTGGTAGTATTGTGTACTTAAAGCAAGAGCAAGTTGATGAGATTGCTCATGGATTATTGAGCTCTGGGGTATCATTTTTATGGGTTATGAAGCCAGCCATCAAAGAGTATGGATTCGAAGAACATGTTTTACCTGATAAGTTCTTGGAAAAAGTTGGGGATAAAGGAAAAGTGGTGAAATGGAGTCCACAAGAACAGGTTTTAGGTCACCCATCTGTCGCATGTTTTGTAACTCACTGTGGCTGGAACTCTTCAGTTGAAGCACTCACTTCAGGCGTGCCAGTTGTGACATTTCCTCAGTGGGGTGACCAAGTCACCAATGCAAAGTTCTTAGTGGATGTGTTTGGTGTAGGGCTTAGATTGAGCCGTGGGGCGGCTGAGAATAGATTGAGCATGAGAGACGAGGTGGGGAAGTGTTTGTTGGAGGCAACAGTTGGACAGAGGGCAATAGAATTGAAGCAAAACGCATTGAAATGGAAGCTGGCAGCGGAAGCGGCGGTGGCTGAGGGCTGCTCCTCCGACCAGAATCTTCAAGATTTTCTGGATGAGATTAGTAAGACATGTGCTGCTTAGAGTAATTTTCATTTTCCATACTGCTTCTGTGAATTTCGTCTCTCCTAGTACTATAGTTCGGTATTGTTGTAGCTTTTTGTATAAATTAATTGTTTATGCTATGCTTTGAGAATAATTCATTGAAAACTAGATTTAGTAGTTAAGTGTTTGATAATTTGAAATATTAACAGCATTGTGAATCAGGAAAAATAGTGTCATGGCATTTGGTAAATGTTATAATACTGTTGTAGTTACATATATTGAGGAGCCAAGTTAATTTCTTATTGTCAACTAGCCATAGAATCAGCTAATCATCAATCCATTTGTCAACTAACTTCAATCTAGTAATAATTACCTTAAAAAATAAAACTTCTCGTAATCAAACGAGAAAACTAACATAGTCAAGCCAAATTCTTTTTTCCCCTAAAGTTCACTTATAGGACAAACACTAGAAAATAGTACCCGCGCGTTGCTGCGGGATTACAAATTTTATGAAAAATTATGCCTCAAATATACAAAAGATTGTGTCATATAAGATTAATACCATATCAAAAAAAAATTGGACTATTAACATTAGAAAGGAGTGGTATACCAACCTTTTACCATCTGCACCATAGGCCATTGTTGTGGATGAGTGACCAGGAGCATCGTAATCCAGCCGGTATCCCATGTTGTCGTATAGCCATGCTTTTATTTTTCCATTTACTGATGTTGAAAAGAAAAACTGAAACACAAAGGCATAAGCTGAGTTTCAAAACAGAGTAAATAATTCATAGATGGCAAATGAAGAGAGACAAATCAAGGGATTAAAAAAATGAGAAAGCGAAGTCCTTACATGGACATTTTCCTTGTTATGAGGGCACACAGAATGCACGGGAGCATCATGACCTTCGAAAGTACCCATAAAACACAAATCGATGTATAAGTTTATCGTGTTTTTTATGACCTATTATATCACCACTTCTCCAAAACCAACCTTAATGGCCTTATCATCACCGCAAGGTAGGGCACAAAGTTGCATAGCCGGGTTGCAGAACGCCAAATCATTAACACTACCAGCATGAGCATCGATCTAGAAATTTATAGAAGTATTAGAAAAGAGAACAGCAAAATGAAATATACTGAAAAGGTAGAAGACGCAGAACCTACCTCCAAATGCTGGTGAATCTCATTCCCACCAAAATAAGCGTATAATTGGATATGCAACTCCTGTTTGAAAGAACAATTGCACTTAAAAGTTTTCTAGAAAAAGTTACCGTGGATCGTATTCAAGCTTACCAAATCGAGAACCTACCAAATAGAGTACCATCGGGCTCCATAATATCCGCTTTACTGAGACACATGGATCCTTGATAAGAGTTGCATGCTTGTGCTTGCGGCTCAAAGTTTTCAGACGCTCAACCACTGATTCGACCACATCACTGATCTCTTGTTGCAACCCTAATGTTCCAATCATTCGAAAAAATTACAAACACATTTTACTCTAACACCAACCAAGGAGTTGTCAAACCAGGAAAAAACAAAAAGAGTAAAAACTTACCCAAAAAATAACAGGACCGCCGGAACTGTTGGTAAATCTGCAACTGACCAAGCGAGGAACCAAACCGCAAAACTCTTAGCCAGGAAAACCCTAGCACAGGATCAGAGCCAACCCAAAACCAAACAGTTACAATTCCATCCAAAATTAACCAAAACACAGAATAGAAATCAAAACACAGCAGTTAGAAAATATACCTCATTTGCAGAAAATTAACTTCACAGTGATGCAAAAACAACCGGTGCTCATACGGAAAACAAAATCAGAAATAGATCCGACCAAAATGGGTGCAAATCAGACATAAACAAACGCAAAAACCGCAAAATAATCTGGACTTAACGGATTGAAAAACAGCAACCCATATCGGAAAATACCCAGTTATCACAAATATAACATATGGAACTCAAAAACTTTAAGAACGAATGACCAAACCCCTCCACTACAGCCGGCAAAGTTTTGGACAACGTAGGAATCGAAGCAAAACCCAAATCCAAGGAAAAGCAAATGGCTTTTAGAATTCGATTTTTTTTTTTTTTTTTTTTTTTTTTTTTTTGGAGTTTGGCAGTTGTGATTTGTAGTTTTTAAGAGAAAGAACTGGAAAAATTTCTACTGGGTTGGTTTTTTCAGCAGTAAAGTGAGAGAGAGGAGTTGAGATAGTCCCCCACATAAAAATCCAAGACTTTGTACAGAAAGGTTGCAGCTTTACCTTTCTTCAAGAACTACAATTGAAATTGCAGCAGTTGCATTTGTTGGGTGGTGGGAGTCATTTCGTGTGCAAGAGTTTGCTGAAAAACCAAATTTTAAAAAAACAATTTAGTAAGATGATCAAAACAAAAATAGTAATCAAATAACTCAAATTTATAAGCATTTTATAGCTCCTAAATTTTTAAAGAATGCAAACACTCTTGCCTATCTCAGATGGCTATAACTCATGAATCCAAATCTCATTGAATGAGGCCTATTCTTTTAAAGCAAATATGAAATTGTTTCATGATCTACAACTAATATGATTTACAACTAATAAAAATTTAATCAACTCGATATCAAATATAAATGCATATCAATTTAAAACCTACCAAGCAAACAAACAAACCCTAAAAACACAAATCAACATCAAAACAGATCCGAATGAGATTAGCTGCTTCAAAATTTCAATCAAGCCAATTATAAACACACAATCCTAAACCCAAAAATTGAAAACAGAGATAAAAATGCAGCCAATAAAGCAAAGCCAAAATCGAACAAAAAGGTATGGGTACCTCTGTTTTCGACTCGAGATCTCTGCATGCTTTGAATTTCTGCATACAAAATATATAGCTTCTATAACTAATTGGCAATACTGCTATCAGCTGATTTCCTTTGAGAAAAAAAAATTAACAAAAACTAAAATTTTTACAACAAAAAAAAAAAAAAAAAAAAAAAAAAAGCTTCTTTCTACTATAAGAGAGCATACCAATTTTTTCTTACCTAAAGCATTGAAATAGCAGAAACCATTCTTTTGTTCTCTTTTTGGTCCTCTTCCCGTGTCCCCTTCCCTTTTTACCTCTTTCAAACGATAACTGATAAGGAAAAATAAAAAATTACAATTGAATAATATAACAAATCATTTAGCAGCTGACAATCCAAAGTCGAGCTCCGTATGACTTTTTTGCTTCTTTTCCTCCTCTTTCCCAACGACACATTTCTTTTTCTACCTTGAGCTGAAAAGGGTTACTCACACCTTTACTTTCTTCAGTTCCATAAGCAACCAAATGCCTGCGAATCGACTCCTTATACACCTAAACAATGAGAGTGCAGCTTCTATAAGTGAATCCACAATGTAAAACATATTAACAGTTCAAATTAAATAGAAAAAAATTAAAAAATTGAAACAACTTGAGCATCATACTTTCTTACTCACCCTATGTGAATCGCATGCACCCAGCAGAAAGCAAACAATCAGAGGCGCAACCAACTGCAGAGCAATCGGCTTCCCCTCCATCAAACCCATTTCATAAACCCTAGAAAAAATGTTAAGTAGATAAAATTTCACAGCCCCCTTTCATACCACCAAGCTCTATAAATTTGAGGCCTTTCACTTCAGATCGTCGCCCCAACGCAGCAGCAAGGAAGTTGTATGCAAAGATGACAGCTGCTTGAGAACACCCATTCCAGAAAAGATTGAATCATCATAGAGATTCAACCTAAATTTTCTGGGTTAAAACCTAAATTTTCTAGGCTAAAAATTTTAGATTTTAAACCAAGGGTTGGAGATGGTCTAATGAATAACAATAACGAATTAATAGCCTATGCCTAATTGAGATAGTGTTGATTATGAATAATAATAAAGAACTATAGCCTAGTAATTGAGAGTTTGCAGATTTTGGAGCTGTAGGTTTCGTTGGAATAAACAATAACTAACTAGGCTTACCAAGATTGCATCGTCCCCATTACTACTGTGGTAGAGGGTCACTTGCAAGAGCTACTCAATTGTTGTCACCTGAGTTTGTTTGTTATTCTGCTTAGCCTTATCTTGTAGTGATTGTTGTGCTATATACTTGCAATAGTTTATACTTCAACAAACTTTGATGGCAACATTTTTTTTGTAATTTACCAAATATTTATTTCAATCATTTACTTGTGAGAGAAGCTGGGCATAGTAGATTGGTTGAGAAAGTGCATTTAACTTAGGCAAAAACACCTGTTTTTTGTTTTTTTTGTTTTTGTTGTAATGTGTATGTGAGTAGAATATAATAATATCCCTAGGTGAACGTGACCTTTTAGGTGTTCGATTGCGGGGTGTATGCTAGAAAAATGACCCCAAAGCTTGATTTCGACTCCAATTTGTTGGTTAACCACAACATATTTTATTTCTAAATGAATCATCATAATATATGTCCTTTAGTTCTTTTTCACTTTCAGATAGAACATCTTGGTTACGTTATTGTTAGAATAATTATAAAAATGTAAATCTATGTATGTTTGTCACATTCAATATGAAAGTTGTCTTAAGTACATTTCTACTAAAGTTTTTCTTCCATTGACACATTATTTGATGAATATAATTGATAGAGTCCGACTTTCTTCCAACCCTATTTAACTTTTGTCGGGTAATAGGTGTTTGGGTTAAAATTGGTACTTTGGGCTCAAAAGGAAGTTAGCCCAGAAGAAGGTATAGAAGGAAGGAAGCCAAGGCTCAGCCCAAGAAGCCAAGAGAAGGAAGAAGAGTCAGCCAAATTTAAGGCAGAAGCTAGCAGATCACTTTGAGCCAAGATCACTTGAGCCACTCTCACCTACCTAGAAGTCAAGTGATGTAGACTAGCCAGCTAATCATCCCAAAAGTACTTTACAGTGGCAGTACAATAAAAAAGCTGATGAGTCACTACCATTCAGCCGCATTCGGGCAAGATCGATGCTGCAGGCAGCCAAGCCAAATCATCTAAAAAGGGAAAGAGATCAAGAGAAAGGACACTTAATCAAACAAACAAATACACAAACTCTACTCAAGCTAGATTTGCATACGAAGCTGTAGTCAACACCAAGCCTTCATCCTTTTCAGGATCAACCTTCACCGAAAGCTTTTGTAAAAGCTCTACTACCTTGTCTGATTCTTGCTGTAGTATCGATTCTCTCCTGTAAACTCATATCCCAATCTCCCATTCTAGTACTCAAACCCTTTGTAAATCACAAAGAGAGGAAGTTGCAAGACGATCAGCCTTGCTCGACCCTCTTTGTTTTGTCTTTTCATTCAGAAATCTAGTAATATGATATGATGTATACTTCCATCTGTATCCAAATTATTTCTAGCAAGTTTATGATTAAAAGGCTTCTTGGTTCTTGGATCTGGTCGGTTTAATGGTGCCCAACCATGCAAAAGATAAAGTTGGAATCCGTACTCATAGCATGACCAGATTTAAGTTCTAACCTTTCGGGCATACAAGATTTATCAATCAAAAGTCCTTGGTCTCAAGGCATAAAAAAGAACTTTATGTGGACTTAACCCATCCACGACAATCCTTGATAACAAAAAGTCCGAAGTTACTTGGGGCGCAAGTAATTAGCCTATTTCTTAGTTTTACTTCTGTTATATTATGATTGCCACAGAACACTTGAGTATAGAATTAACTCTGATGGGAAGCCTCAAGGCCTATACTTAAGGCCCTACAAAGGCACCTATCTGGGTTCGTTCTTCTCTTCGGGCTCGGGTGATTAAAGTATAACGGTTGTAATACTTCTGCAACAACGAAACAACCACTATATGTTAGAGTACTTGGTTAAGTTTTGATTGCGAGCCTCAAAGCCTACACCTAAGGCCCTACAAAGGCACCTTTCATAGCTAACTTGGTCTCTCGGGCATATACAATTAAACTAAACATCTGTTTTACATCTGCCATGCTAAAGATGGCAGTGACACGCCTGAACACCTAAAGTTAATTTTGATTGTGAGCCTCAAGGCCTACACCTAAGGCCCCACAAAGGCACCTTTTAGAATTAACTCTGTCCTTCTCTTACAGCCCGCCAATAAGCAGAAGCCCGACAGACAATATCAACCGGCGCCAACCTCTTGGGGAGCTGTGTGCTCGTCGGCCAGGAAACATCCCCATCGGAAATTCCTCTAGACGAACAATAGGAGCTTGGATTGGGACATCCCAGATGGCATAAAATGTGCAGGACAACCCAAATGGCATAAAATGTGCAAAAGAAACCACACCAGTTTATAACATGACAACCCCATCGAAATGGCCCAAATTTTTTGAGAAAAAATGTAATTTTGTATTTTTGCGAAATATTCTATCATGTTAAGAAAAACTTTATAAAGCATTTGAAAATGATTTTACAGTTTAGTAAGCCACAAATATATATTTAATAGAGTATTTATGCCGAAAATTTAAAAATAAATGGACAAATATGGTATTGGGGCCCAAAACATTATCGGAATGAGACTCCATCCACAGGAATATCAACAAAATTCTTATATGAACTTTCAAAACCTCATGGTATGGTGCAGGTGAAAAAAATATAGATTTTATGAAGATTTTTGTAATTCTACAAAACAACCTAAAAATCGTGATGGTTAGCTCACATTTTTCAAAAAAATGTAAATTTTTTTATTTTCACGAAACATTTCATGTGGTCATTAAGAGATGCTTTGTAAGGCATTTAAAGAGGTTTTACCATTTATTAAACCACGAATGTATATTTAGTAGAATATTTTATTTGAAAATTGAAAAATAAATGGAAACAAATAGTAGTAGGTCCCAAAACATTAACGAAACTATACTCTATACTCAAGAATATCAACGAAAAGTTCTACATGAATTTTCAAACATCACAGTGCATGAAGATGAAAACATATAGAGCTTATGACGATTTTTGAACAGTTTTTTAAAACCGCTTAAAAACCATGATGGTTAAACTATTTTTTTGAGAAAAAATGCAATTTTTTTATTCTTGCTAAATATTTTCCATCATGTTTAAGGAAAAATTTATAAAAAATTTGAAAGTTGTTGCCATTTATTGAGTCACAAATGTATATTAAATCGAATATTTTATCTGAAAACTGAAAAAATAAATGGACAAAAATAGTAGTGAGGCCTAAAACATTGTGATCTCTTAACAACTTTCATACAAATGTATATTTAGTAGAATATTTCTTCGTACATATGCACATGTGATCTCTTAACAACTTTCGTACCACAAAACTAATTGCTCAGAGTCCTAGTAATTGGTGAATTACATACTTAAAGAGTAGCCCATATACTTTGTCCTGTCAACTAACCTTCATTATTTGTAACCTACCAAGTCTCAGAATGGTAGGTGGTCAGTTACAAACTTACAAGAGTAGGGAGATATACAAATAACATGTATGCGAGGAGGAAAAACTAAGCAAGAAAATGGGAACTGAAATTATTCCCACTCATATGTTTCTTGTGTGTTTTCCAGGACAGGGACACATAAACCCTATGCTCAGATTAGGCAAACGCCTAGCTGCAAAAGGGATTTTGGTCAGCTTCTCCACCACTGAAAACTTTGGCAAAGAGATGAGAGCAGCCAACGGTGGCATCAATGATGAACCCACACCTGTCGGCGATGGTTTTATCAGGTTTGAGTTTTTTGACGATGGTCCTCCAGACCAGGACCCTAAACGCACGGACTTGGACTACTATATGCCACTGCTTGAACTTGTGGGCAAGGATTTGGTAACCTAGATGATCAAACGGCATGCCAATGAAGGTCGTCCAGTTTCATGCCTTGTGAACAACCCATTTTGATCGAGAAGGGATGCAGCAGCAACACAAAAGAGCCAACGGCTAGTTTATTTAAATTGTAACGGCTAGTTAGTTTTAGTTATAGTTTTTGACAAGTGTAAGGCTTAGATTAAAAGCTCCAATGAAGGGCTAAGATTAGCTTTGCACTATCAAGGTAGGTAAGTTTTTGTCAGCTAGCTCTAATGGAAATGAGGGCTGACTGTGCACACCTAAAACCCTACTGATGCCATATATATTTTGGACTTGGATTGTCTGCCCTCCCATTTCGGTGCCCTTTTCGTGTTTTCCTGTTTTGTGTGGTCACGGTTAAGCCACGTTAATATTTTATATTACTATTTCTTTTTGTTTTATAGAAATAGTAATATAAAATATTAACGTGGCTTAACCGTGACCACAAAAATAGAAGAGCACGGAGAGGGCACCACAATTAGAGGGCAGACAATCCAAGTCCATATATATGAGTGCTATGAGCTGCTGCAATAGCAGACTGACATAGCCGACATTCCCTTCTGAATTTCTGTGCAATCATCACCATTCTCTGAATCCAAAATCCTTCCAAAACAATCATACAAAACATCAACTTTATAAAACACTATCATGGCCTCAGAGCTTAGTTCTTGATCACTGAAATCTGGGCGTTTTGTGGAATCTGTTTTTGGGGTTGTTCAGGTAAAGGCTGAAACCCTAAGTGTCAATACAAGTCGAAGAGGAAAGGATCTGGGGGTGGCGACCTCAAAGCTCCAATCTTTGATGGAGAACACTACGAATACTGGAGGATTCGGATGACAACCATCTTCAAGTATGCGAGGAGGAAAAACTAAGCAAGAAAATGGGAACTGAAATTATTCCCGCTCATATGGTTCTTGTGTGTTTCCCAGGACAGGGACACATAAACCCTATGCTCAGATTAGGCAAACGCCTAGCTGCAAAGGGGTTTTTAGTCAGCTTCTCCACCACTGAAAACTTTGGCAAAGAGATGAGAGCAGCCAACAGTGGCATCAGTGATGAACCCACACCTGTCGGCGATGGTTTTATCAGGTTTGAGTTTTTTGACGATGGTCTTCCAGAACAGGACCCTAAACGCACGGACTTGGACTACTATATGCCACAGCTTGAACTTGTGGGCAAGGATTTGGTAACCCAGATGATCAAACGGCATGCCAATGAAGGTCGTCCAGTTTCATGCCTTGTGAACAACCCATTCATTCCATGGGTTTGTGACATTGGCACTGAGCTTGGGATCCCTCGTGCCACGCTTTGGGTTCAGTCGTGTGCTGTGTTCTCGGCTTATTACCATTATCACAGCAAGGCAGTGTGGTTTCCGACCGAAACCGAGCCAAATTTGGATGTTCAGCTGCCCGGTATGCCAATTTTGAAGCACGATGAGATACCCAGCTTCTTGCACCCTTTCGACCGATTCCAGGTGAGTGTACACTATACACGGAAATGATCTCTTATACTTGTGTTCATGCAGATTGTCAGTCTATACCGCAAATTCAGGTAAGAATCAACGTGATCCATGGTTCAAATTTCGCAGTCTAGCATCATAAGTACGGAAGTACCTTTTGGATGGACAAACAATCCAGGAAGCAATCATTTCCCACTTTATACTACCAAAACAGTTTCTAAAGTTTTAGAACCGAACTACCATGTTTCATTTGTTCATTGTATTTAGTCTAGCTAATTTGAAACTTATGTTATTCTTTCTACTATGTTGGGAAAAGGTACCTTGTCTGAATTTCCACATATAGTCCTAACTCCTAAGGGGAAAAAAAGTTGATACCTTATAATTAGCAAAATAATTTTCAGGTTTTGGGGAGGGCGATTTTAGGCCAGTTCAAGAAGTTATCAAAATCAATATATGTGTTGATAGACACGTTCCAAGAGCTCGAGCCTGAGGTCATCGAGCACATGTCCCAGTTCTGCATAGTGAAGCCTGTTGACCCCTTATTCAAGAACCCAAAACCTCCCAAAACAACCATAAGTGGAGACCTAATGAAAGCTGATGATTGTCTTGAGTGGCTCGATTCCAAGCCTCCAACATCTGTTGTATACATCTCTTTTGGTAGTATTGTGTACTTAAAGCAAGAGCAAGTTGATGAGATTGCTCATGGATTATTGAGCTCTGGGGTCTCATTTTTATGGGTTATGAAGCCACCCATCAAAGAGTGTGGATTCGAAGAACATGTTTTACCTGATAAATTCTTAGAAAAAGTTGGAGATAAAGGAAAAGTGGTGAAATGGAGTCCACAAGAACAGGTTTTAGCTCACCCATCTATCGCATGTTTTGTAACTCACTGTGGCTGGAACTCTTCAGTTGAAGCAAACACTTCAGGCGTGCCAGTTGTGACATTTCCCCAGTGGGGTGACCAAGTCACCAATGCAAAGTTCTTAGTGGATGTGTTTGGTGTAGGGCTTAGATTGAGCCGTGGGGCGGCTGAGAATAGATTGAGCATGAGAGACGAGATAGGGAAGTGTTTGTTGGAGGCAACAGTTGGACACAAGGCAATAGAATTGAAGCAAAACGCATTGAAATGGAAGCTGGCAGCGGAATCGGCGGTGGCTGAGGGCGGCTCCTCCGACCAGAATCTTCAAGATTTTCTGGATGAGATTAGTAAGACATGTGCTGCTTTAGAGTAATTTTCATTTTCCAAACTGCTTGTGTGAATTTCATGTCTCTGTCTTAGTACTATAGTTCGGTATTGTTGTAGCTTTTTATATAAATTAATTGTTTACAAGGCAATAGAATTGAAGCGAAACGCATTGAAATGGAAGAAGGCAGCGGAAGCGGCGGTGGCTGAGGGCGGCTCCTCCGACCAGAATCTTCAAGATTTTCTGGATGAGATTAGTAAGACATGTGCTGCTTTAGAGTAATTTCATTTTCCAAACTGCTTGTGTGAATTTCATGTCTCTGTATTAGTACTATAGTTCAGTTTGTAACTTTTTATATAAATTAATTGTTTATGCTTTGAGAATAATTAATGAGTGACTTTGAATGTGGTTCTTATTTATCAACGTTCTTTGATTGAAAGCTTGTTAGTTTTCAGTTTTTTATTGAAGTCCTGAAATTAATACAATAATGCATTTCTATGTAGGTTGTTATAATTTTAAATTAAAATTTGATATATGTAGTTACTTATATTAATGAGATTTTCAATAAAATTCATGATTTGTGGGATGAAAATAGTAAAAAATAAAATATTTTTAAATAAAACCCATGATTTGTCATTACTTAAATTAATGACATTCTACATATAAAAAATTAGTAATTTTTATACGGTTCATTTTACATACAAAAAAAGGTGTTATGTTTCATATAAAAAACAATGGATACATTTTATATTAAAAAAATGGGTACATTTTTTATTAAAAAAATAAAAAGTTGATTATTTATGACCAATTTGATTTAACTTTAATCTTATTTATTAACATAGTTAATTATTTAAGAAATAAAATATCTCCTTAAAACTTTGATTTTAGCTTTAAGTATTAGATTTTAGAAACTAAAATACCAAATTATTTAATTTATCATGTCTATAAATTTCTTAATCCTAAATAACTCCTCAAGTCTTTGGTTTGTTAGTTTATTTCTATAGAGTTTCTTGGGAAAGGACTCGAACATTAAAGAATAAAAGAACACTTTGAAGTCGTTGCAGGAAAAAGAATAATATGTAGAATATATTTTGAAGAAAATTGAGGTCTCGTTAGATGCAAAATCTCTTTTTTATATTAACAAAAGATTTATTATCAACATTCTTTCATGAGTAGTAAAATTTCAAGATTAACAAATAGATAACACAAATTGGATGATGTAAACCACATATAGCTTTATACATAAAACAACATATCCATATGCTATGAAAAAAGTTGATTTTTCGATATAAAATTTATTGACAATTTTGAAATAACTCAATTATTTATTTGGAATTCATTCTCATTATATATATATATATATATATATATATATATATATATATATATATATATCTGTGTGTGTGTAAATACAAACCAACCTGTTAGTAGTCTGAATCCAAGAAGAAGCATGTTACTGCAGCCCGGTCACCTAAGCTGTCATGGCTTCCTTTTCATCCTCTTATTTTCTTCCCTTATGTCTACAATCCATGCATGCTATCTAACCGAACGCAGCTCTCTCATGTCCTTTTCTCTCACTCTGCAGTCTTCCGCTCCTTTAAATTGGACTTCAGTTAATTGCTGTCATTGGGAAGGCATCACCTGCGATCACTATGGTTGGATCACCCGTTTGAGCTTACCGGCAAAAGGCCTCGAAGGAGGTATGTTTCCCTCATCACTCGGAAATCTGACACATCTCACCCACCTTGATTTCTCTCACAATTCACTTTATGGTTCACTTGAAACCGGATTCTTCTTGTCCTTGAATCGTCTTGAGATTCTTGATTTGAGCTATAACCATCTCTATGGAGAACTACCATTTTCTCTACCATCTAGCAATATCCGGATGCTGGATTTGTCCTGCAATCGCTTCCATGGCGAAATTTCATCTTCATTCTTCAAAGACGCTTGGAATTTGACTAGTTTCAATATCAGCAACAATATTTTAACAGGGTCAATCCCATCCGCTATTTGTCCTCATTCTTCTCCCTTCATTAGAGTCTTGGATTTTTCCTTCAATAGATTCAGTGGCAACATTCCTCTTGGACTAGGGAAGTGTTCCAAACTGCAGATTTTTCGTGCTGGTAACAACAATCTCTCAGGGCTACTTCCAAGTGACATATATAATGCTACAACACTTCAAGAAATCTCATTTCCCAGGAACCAATTGTTTGGAGTCATAAGTGAGGAAATTGGCAACCTCACCAACCTTCAACTTCTCGACCTCAACACAAACGGATTGAGTGGCACACTTCCTGTTAACATCGGTAAGCTCTCCAAATTGCAGCTTGTGTACCTTCATTTCAACAATCTAGACAGTTATCTTCCCCCATCCTTGACAAACTGCTCAAAGCTTATCGAATTAAATCTGGGATTCAACAACTTTGAAGGAGATATCTCCCTGCTTAATTTCTCCAAACTTAGTCAGCTTAGCAAACTTGACATTGTGAGTAATCACTTCACTGGTATGGTGCCAGTAAGCCTTTACTCGTGCAAGTCCCTGAAAGCACTTCGACTGAGCTTAAACGATCTAGAGGGGCAGATACAACCTGAGATTCTTTTGCTAAAATCTCTGTCCTTTCTCTCCCTTGGTGGAAATAAATTGACCAATATCACGGGGGCAATCAAGATATTGATGGGTTGTAAAAGTCTCACTGTTCTCCTCATTCGATATAGCTTTCTACACGAGGAAATGCCTTCTTATGATGGCATGTTTGGTTTCTATGGATTCCAAAATCTTCGAATTTTGGGTATGAGTTACTGTGAGATCACCGGTAAGATACCTATTTGGTTATCGAAGCTCAAGAAGCTAGAGGTCTTGTATCTGCCTTTCAATAGAATGACCGGCCTAATTCCTAGTTGGTTGGGGACCCTGCCAAGGCTCTTTTATATAAACATAGACTCCAACCGAATTTCAGGCGAATTTCCAAAGGAACTTTGCAGGCTGCCGATGTTGGTATCTGAAACTGAATCTCGAACAGACCACAATTATCTTGAACTCCCCATATTCATCATTGATGCTACTAATTCTTTGCATCAAAACTATTTTTCGAAGAACTTGCCTCGAGCACTATTCTTACAGAACAATTGTTTAACTGGAAAAATACCTATTGACATTGGCCAACTGCAGCTTCTCCACGCGTTGGATCTTAGCTCTAACAACTTCTCCGGTAACATTCCAGACACAATATCTAACCTCAAAAACTTGGAGACGGTGGATCTCTCCATGAATCATCTGTCAGGAGAAATCCCAGCGTCATTGGCAATTCTTAATTTCTTGTCACTTTTGAATGTATCATACAATCGTCTAGAGGGACCAATACCAACAAGCACCCAGCTCCAAAGCTTCAATCCGTCTGCCTTCGAGGGGAATTTGAAACTTTGTGGCGCACCACTTCCAAATGAGTGCCAACCAGTTGATGGCATTACTACGGATGATGAGAACAACCAGGATTTGGACGACGATGAGGATCAAAGTCTATGGTTTGGGTTATCCGTCGTGCTTGGTTTCTTTGTGGGGTTATTGGGATTCTGTTGCCCTTTGCTTCTCAAGAGGACGTGGAGATACCCATATTTCCAACTCCTAGACAATGTTCAATTCATGCTCTATGTGAAGCCGGCACTCCATGATCACGTCGAATCCTTATGAAATTGAATCCAGAACAAAATCGCGCTAAAGCTAGGGCGTCACCCGTAAGTGGCGCGCTGTGTGGCCCGAGCACAGTGATAAGTGAGCAAGGGTCGCTGTATCTCCATCGGCACCCGGATGCAGTGTTAAATGAGCAAGGGGGCCGTAGAAACTTCTTTTCGAACGACTCCACTCAAAGTTGTTTGGGAGCATATGCTCCTATCAACTTTACACGGGACACACAAAAGAAGTACTTTGATCCTATTAGACGGGGGAGGGTGAAGAAGCTAGGACAGAAGGGTAGAGTTCAAGAGAGCAAAATGCGTTTAGGAACGTGGAATATAGGAACCTTAACGGGAAAATCTATGGAAGTAGTGGAAGTTATGGTGAGGAGAAGGATAAATATTATGTGCCTACAAGAAACTAAGTGGATTGGTAGTAAGGCAAAGGATCTAGAAAACTCAGGGTTTAAACTTTGGTATTCGGGCACAAAATAGAACGAGAAACGGTGTTGGCATCATCGTGGACAAGACCTTGACACAAGATGTTGTAGATGTCAAGAGGGTAGGAGATAGAATCATGGCAATCAAGATTGTAATAGGACAAGAACTTATCAATGTGATTAGTGCGTACGCACCTCAAGTAGGGTTGGATACGAGTTCGAAGGAGAAATTTTGGGAAGACCTTGGAGACTTGGTGCAAGGAATTGCTCAGACGGAGAAGTTATTTATAGGAGGAGATTTAAATGGACACGTGGGCAGGGAGACAGGCAACTATGGAGGTTTTCATGGTGGCCATGGTTTTGGGGAGAGAAACGAGGATGGGGAAGCTATCTTGGATTTTGCAATGGCATATGATCTCTTCTTAGCCAACACCTTCTTTAAGAAGAGAGAAGAACATGTGATCACCTACAAGAGTGGGTCGTCAAAAACACAAATAGATTTTTTTTCTAATGAGGAAAGGGGATCGTATAACTTGTAAGGATTGCAAAGTTATACCAGGAGAGAGCGTGGCTAATCAACATCGCTTGTTGGTGATGGATGTACATATCAAAAGAGTGAGACAAAAGAACAAGACTTGGAAGTGCCCAAGGACTAGATGGTGGAATCTAAAAGAAGAAAAACAAGCCATTTTCAAAGAGAAGGTAATCACCCAATGTGTGTGGGATAGAGAGGGGGAAGCTAGCCAAATGTGGGATTCCATGGCTAGTTGTATCCGAAAAGTAGCAAAAAGAGGTATTAGGAGAGTCCAAGGGCTTTGCCCCACACCAAAAGGAATCTTGGTGGTGGAATGAGGAGGTACAAACAAAGGTGAAGGCTAAGAAGGAATGTTGTAAAGCCTTATACAAGGAGAGGACCGATGAAAATGGTGAAAGGTATAGAAAAGCGAAGCAAGAGGCGAAGAAAGCTGTCAGAGAAGCTAAGTTAGCGGCTTACGACGATATGTATAAACGACTAGATACCAAAGAAGGAGAGTTGGATATCTATAAACTAGCTAGAGCAAGGGAAAAGAAGACAAGGGACCTAAACCAAGTGAGGTGCATCAAGGATGAGGATGGAAAGGTTCTTGCTACAGAGAACGCGGTTAAAGACAGATGGAGAGGTTATTTTCATAATCTTTTCAATGAAGGACATGAAATGAGTGCTTCTTTAGGGGAGTTGAGTAACTCAGAAGAGTGTAGAAACTACTCTTTTTATCGTCGAATCCGGAAGGAAGAAGTGGTTGTAGCTTTGAAGAAGATGAAGCATAGAAAAAGCAATAGGCCCAGACGATATACCAATCGAAGTGTGGAAAGTTTTGGGAGAGACAGGTATAACATGGCTCACTGACCTTTTCAATAGGATTTTGAAAACGAAGAAGATGCCAAATGAGTGGCGAACAAGCACTTTGGTGCCTATCTACAAGAATAAGGGCGACGTACAAAATTGCATGAACTATAGGGGTATTAAGTTAATGAGTCATACAATGAAGCTCTGGGAGAGAGTCATTGAGCATAGATTGAGGCAAGAGACACGGGTTTCGGACAACCAATTCGGGTTCATGCCAGGGCGCTCAACCATGGAGGCAATCTATCTCTTACGAAGATTGATGGAAAGATATAGAGATGGGAAAAAGGATTTACACATGGTCTTTATAGATTTGGAAAAAGCGTATGATAGGGTCCCAAGAGACATTCTTTGGAGGATTTTAGAGAAGAAAGGAGTACGAGTAGCATATATCCAAGCTATAAAGGATATGTATGAAGGAGCAAAGACTGCCGTAGAACTCATGAAGGACAAACCGAAAGCTTTCCCATAACTGTAGGATTACATCAAGGCTCATCCTTAAGTCCTTACCTTTTTGCGTTGGTAATGGATGAGTTAACAGGACATATTCAAGATGATATTCCTTGGTGTATGCTTTTCGCAGACGATATAGTGTTGATAGATGAAACTCAGGAAGGGGTAAATGCAAAGCTTAACCTTTGGAGAGAAGTGTTGGAATCTAAAGGTCTTCGCCTAAGCCGATCAAAGACAGAATATATGGAGTGCAAGTTCAGTGCAAATGGAGGCCAAAACGAGGAGGGGTGAGAATCGGAGATCAAGAAATACCAAAGAGCGACCGTTTTCGTTACCTAGGATCTATCTTGCAAAAGAACGGAGAATTAGATGGAGATCTCAACCATAGAATACAAGCTGGATGGATGAAGTGGAAGAGTGCATCTGGTGTGTTGTGTGACCGCCGTATGCCACTGAAGCTCAAGGGAAAATTTTATAGGACGGCAATAAGGCCGGCGATGCTGTATGACACAGAATGTTGGGCGGTGAAGCATCAACACGTACACAAAATGGGTGTAGCGGAGATGAGGATGCTTCGTTGGATGTGTGGGCACACGAGAAAGGATAAGATTAGGAATGAGGATATCCGGGGTAAAGTAGGAGTAGCCGAAATTGAAGGAAAGATGAGAGAAAATCGGTTACGGTGGTTTGGACATGTGCAAAGAAGGCCTACTGACGCTCCGATTAGAAGATGCGACTATGGGACAGAGGTTAGGGCCGAAGGGGTAGAGGAAGACCTAGGAAAACTTTGGAAGAGACTCTAAGAAAAGACTTAGAGTACTTGGATCTAATGAAAGACATGACACATGACCGAGCACAATGGCGTTCTAAGATTCATATAGTCGATCCTACTCAGTGACTTGGATTTTCCAAGTCTCCAACCGAGAAGTTTTCCTCACTCGGAAAATTAAGGGAACACTACCCCAACCTACATGCTCCACTCAGAAAGCTTCAACATACAAGCTTCAACAAAAAAAAAAAAAATTCAAAGAACTTAGCGAAGAAGGCTTTGGTGTATTTAACACAATACGTTGAAATGAAGGAAAACTTATTTATTGATATCCCCGATAAGCTACAAATATGTACATATACATGAGTCAAAATAAACAAACAAGATGGAGCCTTCACAAAGGTTGCTTAGGAGAAGTCTCAGCAGTCGGTAGAGCCCCAGAAAGAGAAGGCATCTAAGGGGGATCATTCGGAGCCTCAGTATTGGACAGAACCCTAGAAGGAGGAGGCATCAGAGGTTGATCATTTGGAGCTTCATTACGCGGTACAGCCCCAGAAGACGAAGGCAATAAATGCCTTTGGAACAAACCCACAAATCTCTGATGATCAAGTAAAACCTGACCATCAGTTTCCTTCATCTGGTCAAGCTTCCTCTTCATGTTTGTAGCATAGTCATGTGCGAGTCGGTGCAACTGTTTATTCTCATGCTTGAGCCCTCTAATCTCCTGTTTGAGACTCATCACTTCAGCCGCCAATGATTCAACTTGGCGGGTTCGAGCAAATAGGCGTTGGGCCATATTAGACACAGAACCTGCACACTGAACACTGAGAGCCAGCGAATCCTTAACAGCTAACTCATCAGACCGTTTGGAAAGTAGTCTGTTATCTTTGGGAGTGAGAAGGTTCATGGCCACCACCGCAGCGGTCATATCATTCTTCATCACGGAATCCCCAACGGTAAGAGGACCAGTAGGGGAGACGAAGGATGGGCGCCATATGTTGTCTGGAGAAGGCGGGGCTGCCTCTTCAACAAGGTTCAAGTCAAAACGACGGTCGGAGGGGCCAGACATTTTCAAAGGTGTTGAAGAGAGAAGAAGTCGGACAAATCAAGATCTTAGAAGTGCAAGAATGGAGCTTCTACTGGTGGAGATTCAAGTGTGCTTTGGAACTTAATGCTAGCCCCTATAAAAAGCTGCACTCGACGGAGCTTCAGACATCGAAGAGGCGCCTGCTCAGAAATCGAAGAGGCGTTTGCTTTCTCAAAAGCTGGGCTGCTTAGAGACCACGAGGGTGATCTCATAAATCGAAGAGGTGTTTGCTTTCTCAAAAGTTGGGCTGCTCAAAGACCATGAAAGCCGATCTCAGAAATCGAAGAGGCGCTCGCTTTCTCAAAAGCTGGGCTTCTCAGAGACCACGAGGGCCGATCTCAGAAATCGAAGAGGCACCTACTTTTCCAGCCTTGTCAGCACCTGTCACACGCACACTCAGCTTTGCGGAAATTATGGGTATTCTGTCGAAGACTTCTGGGGAAGTAGAAAACACATGAATCTTACTGTCCAATCACCCACTTCCCACACGCAACAATAGCTCATGGGTACCACAGATAACTTTGCCAAAGTTCTCTGCCAAAGTTGAGCACGTGAAGCTTGCAGCTCTCACTACATCGCTCTGACCAAGAAGGGTAAAAGAATAGCAAAGAAACAGCACTAACAAAGTTTAGACCCATAAATTTTGAAGGTCTAGCTACCATATTATTACCCACAAGGGTAAAGGAACAGTACCACTGCTGGATAATTGGAAAGTCCCTGTGTGTCAACCTCTGTGCCTTGTGGCAAGGTAGACTAGCAAACATGCCCAACCTTTACTCACATTTTCGAGAAAACACTCCTAATAAGATTGCTTGCTCCAAAATCGAAGAGGCACCGTCCTCTGAATCTCGAGAGCCAGACTCCCAACATGACTACTTTCTCAAAAATCGAAGAGAGGGTAAATGAACAATACCATTGCTGGATAATTGGAAAGTCCCTGTATGTCAACCTCTGTGCTTCGTGGCAAGGTAGACTAGCAAACATGCCCAACCTTTACTCACATTCGAGAAAACACTTCCAACAAGATTGCTTGCACCAAAATCGAAGAGGCACCGTCCTCCGAATCTCGAGAGCCAGACTCCCAACATGATTACTTTCTCAAAAATCGAAGAGACACTGCTCCCCGAATCTCGAGAGCCAGACCCCCAGCATGATTGCTTTCTCAAAAATCAAAGAGGCATCGTTCTCCGAATCAATCGAAGAGGCGCTCGCTTTCTCAAAAGCTGGGCTGCTCAGAGATCACGAGGGCCGATCTCAGAAATCGAAGAGGCACCTACTTTTCTAGCCTTGTCAGCACCTGTCACACGCACACTCAGCTTTGCGGAAATTATGGGCATTTTGTCGAAGACTTCTGGTGAAGTCGAAAACACATGAATCTTACTGTTCAATCACCCACTTCCCACACGCAACAATAGCTCATGGGTACCACAGATAACTTTGCCAAAGTCTCTGCCAAAGTTGAGCACGTGAAGCTTGCAGCTCCCACTATATCGCTCTGACCAAGAAAGGTAAAAGAATAGCAAAGAAACAGCACTAACAAAGTTTAGACACATAAATTTTGAAGGTCTAGCTACCATATTATTACCCACAAGGGTAAAGGAACAGTACCACTGCTGGATAATTGGAAAGTCCCTGTGTGTCAACCTCCGTGCTTCGTGGCAAGGTAGACTAGCAAACATGCCGAACCTTTACTCACATCCGAGAAAACACTCCCAACAAGATTGCTTACTCCAAAATCGAAGAGGCACCGCCCTCCGAATCTCGAGAGCCAGACTCCCAACATGATTACTTTCTCAAAAATCGAAGAGACACTGCTCCCCGAATCTCGAGAGCCAGACCCCCAGCATGATTGCTTTCTCAAAAATCGAAGAAGCATCGTTCTCCGAATCTCGAGAGCCAGATACCACATGCCACTTTTTCAAAGTGCTCTGACAGAGTTAAAACATGTGAAGCTGGCAGCTCCCACTACCGTGCTATGACCAAGCAGGGTAAAGGAATAGCATTACTACTTGTTGTTAGGGAGACTCCTATATATATGTCGACCTCCATCCCCAACGAACAGGCAGACCTGCAAAAATGCTTAACCCTTCCTCATATCTGAGAGGGCACTCCCAACGAAGCCTTTCGAAATATTCAGTTTTCTTTCCCCCTGATAATACCTCTGCAAACAAGCTATACTAGAGCAAGAATATCTCATATCATCAGGGTTAAAAGCAAGAGAGTATCCCATATCATGCTTTTTCCCTGTCTTTTCCTTTGGCCTTGTTTTTACCTGCAAGACAAGGAGAAAGAGAGAGCAATCAGTCAGCACTTGAAATCAAGCTCCCAATCAGGAACTGACTGCCTGGAACCCCTTACCTGATTACTTACCTGGCATTGCTCTCGAGTACTCATCTTCAACATCTTATGTTTCCAGGGAAGATACCGCATCTGCTTGAGGAACAGATAGGGCAAGTGCGAAGGATACAAGGAAGCATGTGGAGACAAGCGTAACAGCACACGTGCCTATACATCCATTACTCTGTCAAAAGCAAAAGTATCCCATATCAGCAGGGTCGAACGTACTCTAGATTTGATGGACTTGTTTTGACCCTCAAATTCTTCAGTCGGCCTTATACTCTGGAGGAAACCAGAAAACCCTCCAGCTCAGTTCAAGAATAAGCCTGTGGAAAGCTACTTCTTCAAAAGCAAAAGTATCCCATATCATCTCTTCTCATTTTTCTTCTCTTTATCCTTCATGCTGCTGCAAGATGGGGAGAAGGTGAACAATCAGCCAGAGCTCTGATTGCTTACCTTGTCTGTCACCTCTTTCAGCAGATCCCCTAGCTCGGCGACTTGGGGGACTCCTACTACATGGTTTGTATCGCGCTTGACCAAGCCTGAAACTACAAGTAAGCTTCAAGTGAAATTGATACATTACCTTGTGCATCTCCACCAATTAAAGATACCACCCCTGGATGGAGGAAGAGTACTTCCAGAGAAGCTGCCACATCTACCTATGAGACAGATAAGGCAAGTCAAGATGATACCACACTCCGATACTTAGAAATTTCGTGATTACGAGATCATTCTTCCACAATATTTCCTAATGTCATTTGTACTCTAATGTCATTTGTACTAAATCATTCACTTGTACTCACTAAAGGAGAGCTTAAACCTATGTACTTGTGTAAACCCTTCACAATTAATGAGAACTCTTCTATTCCGTGGACGTAGCCAATCTGGGTGAACCACGTACATCTTGTGTTTGCTTTCCTATCTCTATCTATTTATATACTTATCCACACTAATGACCGGAGCAATCTAGCGAAGATCACAAAAAGCGACCGTTTTCGTTACCTAGGATCTATCTTGCAAGAGAACGGAGAATTAGATGGAGATCTCAACTATAGAATACGAGCTAGATGGATGAAGTGTAAGAGTGCATCCGGCGTGTTGTGTGACCGTCGTAGGCCACTGAAGCTCAAGGGAAAATTTTATAGGACGGCAATAAGGCCAGCGATGTTGTATGGCACAAAATGTTGGGCGGTGAAACATCAACACGTACACAAAATGGGTGTAGCGGAGATGAGGATGCTTCGTGGGATGTGTGGGCACACGAGAAAGGATAAGATTGAGAATGAGGATATCCGAGGTAAAGTAGGAGTAGCCGAAATTGAAGGAAAGATGAGAGAAAATCAGTTCCGGTGATTTGGACATGTGCAAAGAAGGCCGACTGACGCTCCGGTTCGAAGATGTGACTACGGGACAGAGGTTCAGGGCCGAAGGGGTAGAGGAAGACCTAGGAAAACTTTGGAAGAGACTCTAAGAAAAGGCTTAGAGTACTTGGATCTAACGGAGGACATGACACAAAACCGAGCGCAATGGCGTTCTAGGATTCATATAGCCGACCCCACTTAGTGGGAAAAGGCTTTGTTGTTGTTGTTGTTGTTGGTTTATAGTGGTTAAGTCTTGTTCTTCTTGTTAACAGGAAAACCCAAGGCCACGTCCCAAATCAAAAGGACGAAGTTAAAAGCAGCAAGCCGGATAGTGAAACTGAGTGTACAAATCAGTCAGAATATGCAAACAGTAACTCTTTCATGTTCCCTGACAACTTCCAAACCACCTCTCTCTTCAATGTTCCAGTTAAAGCTCCCTGCCCAGAAGACGAAGAAATATTAATGTGTACCGATTGAGCCAGAAATTCTCTGGTGCAAAATATCTATTAGAGTGTAGGATGTTCATTCCATAATCGGACTGTAAGTTGAATAGCTGTTTTATTTATTTTATCTCCTCTTTTAGACTGAAATTATGGACCAAACTATCAATCATCAGCTGATGAAATCACGATGGAAGTTTGATAACATAACATATTAGACAAATTTACACGTGACTAAAGCCTAAAAGTATAGATCATATATCTGAATATAGACTTCAACTGAATTTCAGGCGAATTTCTAAAGGAACTTTGCAGGCTGCCAACGTTGTTATCTGAACATACTGAAGCTCAAACAGACCACAATTATCTTGAGCTCCCCATTTTTATCATTGATAGTACAAATTCTTAATTTGCATCAAAACTATTTTTCGAAGAACTTGCCGCAAGCACTATTATTGCCGAACAATTGTTTTACTGGAAAAATACGTATTGACATTTGCCAACTGCAGCTTCTCCACGCATTGGATCTTATCTCGAACAACTACTCGGTTACATTCCAGACCAAATATCTAACCTAAAAAACTTGGAGACGCTGGATCTCTCCATGAATCATCTGTCAAGAAAATCGCAGCGTCATTGGCAATTCTTAATTTCATGTCCTCTTTAAATGTATCATACGATAGTCTAGAGGACCAATACCAACAAGCACTCAGCTCTCAAGCTTCAATTCACCTGCCTTCAAGGGGAATTTGAAACTTCGTGGTGTGCCACTTCCAAATGAGTACCAACCAGTTGATGGTGAAGGTGCAGATAAGAACAGCCAAGATTCAGACAATGGGAATCCAATTCCATGGTTTCATTTCTTTTTCTCACTTGGGTTCAGGACAGGATTTTTTGGAGTTTGTGGCTCTTCTGTGTTTAAGAGATCCGCAGATATACGCAGTTCCAATTCCTAGACAATGCACAAAATCTCTATGTGATGTTAAGAATGTGTATAGTCAAGATGAAGAGAAAGCTTAGTATCTAGAGTGTTGTGCTATACTTTCTTATTTGGATTTTCTTCGGTTGATGTATTTAGTTATTTGTTTTCATTTTTTCGTTTTCTGCAATCTCCTTATGTCAGATGAAAATTTTGGCAAAAAAACTGCTTTTTAAAAGTGAAAAATAAGGCCGTTTGATAGCTCATTTCGGCTTCAGTACTCTGATAGTCTTCATTACTATCGGGTGCAGAAACAGAACATCCTCTGGTATAGCACCTTCTTTGTTCAAGACATTCCGAGTGTCTGCATAACTAATCACAAGTGTTTATGGCTGGTTCCTTCAGTTTTCTTCCCTAGCTCTTTAAATCTCAAAAGGGTAGTGATTGTCACACATCTTTTTTAGCTTCTCACTACCCCTCTCTATTTATATTCATCGGATTAATAAGTCAAATGGAATTCATATTCAGAATTAAACACGTGTGTGTGAGAGGATAAAAAAAAGTGAAAATCATTTCTCATGTCTGTTTGTACCATACTTAGGGTCTCCGTATTTAGATCTCGTATAAATACTCGGAGGACTCAAATGTAATTATGTAATAAATGAAGGGGCAAATATGTAAAAAGGGGAGGAGCCCTTAGTCTATAAAAGGGCCTCCTCACCCTCACAATCCTCTTACAAACAGAGAAACACTCTCAAATTCTCTCTTTCTCTGGGGGACTCCCCCTCACACTTGTAATCCATACATACAGTTAGAGAGAAATACAATCAATATCAGTGTGGACGTAGCCCAAACATTAGGGTGAACCACGATACATCTTGTGTTCTTTACTTTCTTGCAGATTCACGGTCGGATCTATGTTGTTCCAAGACCCCTCCGATTTTATGCATCAACATTTGGCGCCGTCTATGGGAAACGACATGAAAAGCTATGTCGGTTCTCTTTCATTTTTTCACCTCCGCCGTGAATCTGCAAAAACCCAAGAACCCAAAGCTTTCCCAAAAAACCCACGGAGCCACCTCCTCTCTCACTCAGTCTCTCCCTGCAACTGCAAGACAAATTCCGCACCAATTCCTCACTTGCTTCACACTTTGTAGTTTACTCTTCTCCCTCTCACACGCTCTCTCTCTCTCTCTAACTCTCGGCAAAAACCAAGTTGTGATCCCCTTGTTTCTGGACCTCTAGTGTTGTTGATTTCCGGTTCATTTCAGCCGGAGAATGGCATATATGTGCGCGGACAGTGGAAATTTAATGGCGATTGCTTATCAAGTCATCCAGCAGAAGCAGCAGCAACAACGCCACCATCACCACCAGCCGCCGCTCGGTGCTTTCTCCCTCACTCCATGACCCAACAACAACCACCACACTCCGCCGGGTTTAGGTTTTCGGATTTAGGCTACAGTAGCCCTGCCGAGTTCGACTCGGACGAGTGGATGGATAGCATAAAAGGTGGTGGGGATTCAACAGATAGTTCCAACCTGCCTTCTACTTGCGACACGTGGCAGGGGAGCAATTTTGATTTTGGTATCTATGGCGCCAATCCGTTTCGACCCCACTGCCCGAGTTGACTCAGCAATCCCTGTTCTCCGCTGTCAGATCTCAACCGAGTCATATTCTCCGAGACCCAGAACTAATTGCCAGCGTGGACTCCACCGCTACCACAGCAACTACACCAGGTTTCGGTAAAGGAGTCTAAATCAACCGACCCTCAGTCACTCCAAAACGACACCGTCGGAGTGTCGTTAAAGTCGCCCGAGATCGAGTCAGAACCGCTGCTGCTAAAAGCCTTCCTCGACAGTGCCAGGCTCACCAAGTTCGACCCCGACGGCGCCGTCAAGTCTCTGGTTCGACTTAGGGAATTGGTCTCGGACCACGAAGATCCAACTGAAAGAGTCGCCTTTTACTTCGCAGAAGCGCTGCAAAATAGAGTATCGTTTATGCAATCATAGAAGAGCTTTACGATTGCGTACGACACATACCCGTATTCCAAGTTTGCCCATTTAACGGCCAACCAAGCGATACTCGAAGCGACAAAGAGAGCTACCAAGATCCACATAGTCGACTTCAGAATCGTCCAAGCTGCATTTAACTATATCGAAACTGCTCTTTCCAAATTTGAAGATGGACCTTTCTTTCTTGGCAAGTTCAGTCTGGTCTGAGCTTTCTAGAGGGAAACATTGGGTGCGACAGAGACTAAGTCAATCCCAACTGCAGCTGCCGCGTAGGCTCTTGATTGAGCTCCGATTTAGAAGCCTCTAACCACTGATTTCATTGCGGAGAAGCTCGTTCGCTTCAGAAGTGTGGACGCCATTGCTGAGTGCTAAGCAGCTGAGTCGACTACATGGGTGGGTATGAGACTGATCGAGTTGAGGAGGACCGAGGCATCCATAAAGGTTGCTAACACGCTTGCTAGGTTTTTGTTTCACGGTTTCCACGACCAGATCCCCGACCGTCTGGTCCGGCAGTGCCATCTGCAATCTGCAAAGTAAAGCAAAGTAAAGAAAAGAGCTTGACTTTACTTTTGTCTGCCATCTGCAAAGTAAAGCAAAGTAGCTTTACTTTACTTTTCTCATATTTTTAACTCAGTCATCTATTCGCACTCATGGAAAATAACCACAAAGATAAGACTCTTATCTTTACAGCCCATACCCACTGTCATTGATGAATATTTTATTAAGTTGTCTTCTGCAAACTGGAACTATTGTATAGTTATACTGATGTGTAAAGAAGGCAGCATGCCAAAAAAAAAAAAGGTATGTCCAGTACTTCAAAATTATTCGGCAGCATACCGCTATTATCACCCACTAGGTGATCAAAAGTACGTCCAGTACTTCAAAATTATTCGGCAGCCTGCTGCTATTATCACCAACCAGGTGATCAAAAGTGCGTCCAGTACTCCAAAATTATTCAGCAGCCTGCCGCTATTATCACCCACTAGGTGATCAAAAGTACGTCCAGTACTCCAAAATTATACATGAGCATCACTCATGTCAATCATACATAAACATTCATGAGCATCACTCATGTCAATCATACATAAACATTCATGACTATCATTCATGTTAACATTCATAAGCATCACTCATATCAACATTCATGAGCATCACTCATGTCAACATTCATGAGCATCACTCATGTCAACATCCATGAGCATCACTTATGTCAATCAACATAAACATTCATGAGCATCACTCATGTCAATCAGATTCGAAAACTTCATTTACAAAGCTCTACCTTCGAGAGTTCCAGTTTCGAAAGCTTTATTTACAGAGCTCCAGCTTCAAAGCTTCATTTACAAAAGCTCCAGCTTCAAAGCTTCACTTTCAAAAGCTTAACCTACAAAGCTTCAGTGCATGGTATACAAAGACCACCTCCGAACAATCGCCACTTCGGCCCATACATGGATTCAGTTTGAAGTATCCAGCCAACAGACTCTATTGACTGAAGATGAAGGACTACACTATGTACCATATATTGGGCTTCCGTAACTGGGCCTCATGAAAAATACTTGGGGCACTTAGCCCATTATTTATAGTGTACCATATATAGAGCACCCATTATTCATGTATTGAGGAGCGAACCCTTATTTTATAAAAAAGACTTCCTCACTTTTCATTAGAGAGCACCCATTATTCATGTACTGAGGAGTGAGCCCTTATTTTATAAAAAGGACTCCCTCACCTTCATCAGAGAGCATCGCCGCCAGCTGAGCAACCGCCTCGTCGTGAGCATCACTCCTAACCCATCACTTATGTATTGAGGAGTGAGCCATTATTCTATAAAAATGACTCTTTCACCATCATTAGAGAGCATCACCGCATGCTGAGCAACCGCCTCGCCGTGAGCATCAACTCTTAGCCCATCACTTATGTATTGAGGAGCGAGCCCTTATTCTATAAAATGGACTCCCTCACCATCATTAGAGAGCATTGCCGCCTGCTGAGCAACCGCCTCGCCGTGAGCATCGACTCTAGCCCATCATTTATGTATTGAGGAGCAAACCCTTATTCTATAAAAGGGACTCTCTCATCTTCAACACCACAAGCCGAGCCAACCAAGGCAACATAAGCCACAAGCAGAGCAGCCTCGTAACATGCGCTACTTCTAGTTGAGCATCATTTCAGATTGGGCACCGTCTTATATCGAGTATCAGTTCTAGACGACATCTAGTTACTTCGGCCCACACATGGACTGAATTTCAAGTCTCCAGCCAAAAGACTCTCTTGACTGAAGACTTGGGGGACTACTGTTTGTACCATACATAGGGCCTCTGTATTTAGATCTCGTATAAATACTCGAGAGACTCAAATGTAATTATGTAATAAATGAAGGGGCAAATATGTAAAAAGGGGATGAGCCTTTAGTATATAAAAGGGCCTCCTCACCCTCACAATCCTCAAGCTCTCACCCTCACAATCCTCTCACAAATAGAGAAACACTCTCAAATTCTCTCTTTCTCTGGGGGACTCCCCCTCACACTTGTAATCCATACATACAGTTAGAGAGAAATACAATCAACATCAGTGTGGACGTAGCCTAAACATTAGGGTGAACCACGATACATCTTGTGTTCTTTACTTTCTTGCAGATTCACGGTCGGATCTATGTTGTTCCAAGACCCCTTCGGTTTTGAGCATAAATAATGTCAAATTTGTTTTTACTCACTGACATGGTTTTACGGAATATATCAATGTTACATTCTAACATGTAATCGGGTGGACACCGCTTATTAGTAATATGTGTAGAAGATCTTTAATCAAGACTTTATTAGTAAACCATTAATCCCATATGCAGAGGAAAAAAACCAACCATGATAATTTAGTTCAAACTCGCTTTTGGCAAAAAATTGAATCTAAAACCTATCATTTACAAGAGAAAAGAATGTCATTGACCGTAATGCTAAGTGACAACACACACCCTTTTTAGTTTCTTACAGACTCATGTTTAATCCTAGTCGTGGATTATGTTTGATTTGTTCAATCTAATTGCCAGAAATAAAAAGGGGTGTTTGTTAGTGTACAAAGGTGTGTGAAAATCACTTCATATCTTGCAAACTCAGAAAAAGTAGCTTTCAATTTCCATTTTTTGAAAACTAAAAATAGTTACTAAATATATTCTCACTTTCAATTTTTGATATATATAAAAATAAAAAAATAAAAAACTGAAAACGAAATGATTATCAAAATAGTCTCTTTAATTAAGTTGTACTAGAGTTTCCTTAACTTGATTGCATCTAAAAACCTGTCTAAGTGATTAGAAGTGTTGTGGGACTCATTGCCAAAGGATGTAAGACTAAGGTTTCAAGAATAAATGGGGGAGACAAAATTGCATAGAGAAGGAAGAGAGATATTAAATTGAAAAGGCAGGGGCAAAATCGAAAATTCAGTGTTTGGGTCATTTTAATTGGACTGATTTAGTGTTAAGTTTTATCCTACCCATTAAATAAAATTATTACCTGATTTTTTTGTTAACATTCAAAGTTTTCAAGCTATTTTTATTAATTTTTCTATAAAAAAATAAAAATAAAAAAAGTAAGCAAACCTTCTAATGCGAACTATTTCCATTCACTATGACAGTATGACTGATTTTTAAAAGTCTACATATTCCGTAAATGAAATGAAAGCAATGACTTCAAATATAAAATATTGGGGACGAGAATCTAAACCTACTCTTCACTTTTTCTTTTTAAAACAACGAAACGAAGGGACGTTAGGAGGTGTGAATGTGAATTTAAAAATAGGGCTCACTATCTCTTATGCAAGATTTGAAAACTTTAGTTGAAGCATGTCTCATGGGTGTGAATTTTATGCTACACATCATGCAATACTATGAGTGTTTTAATCGTTATATTTGGTTTTCACAACTATTTAGATTTTATATTATTAATTTCAACCAATCCATGTCTCATATCACAAACTTAAAAAACCTCGGTTGATTAGTAGTGGGCCAACTGTCTCTACCTAAATTGGGACAATAAATTTATTAAAACGCTAAAGTTCCGAGTTACTATACATTGGTTTGCACTTGTGGTTAAAATCTATGTTCGATTAATAGTGAGCTGATGAGCGGTTTCTAAAACCTCAGTTGAAGCATGCCCCACACCAAAAACTTGAAGACCTCGGATGGGCCACTAGATTGTCTTTACCTGAATTGGGACAATGAATGTAAGACACTGAAGTCGTGAGTTGGCTCAACAATTGGTTTGCACATGTGATCAGTATTTTGTTTGATTAGTAGTAAGTTGATGGACGGTCGCTCACTTTGGAAGCATTCCTGACCATATTCCAGCCTCACAAACTTGAAGAGACGATCCAGACCTCTCTGAAAACCATCTGTCCGACTGAATCCTAGGGCGCTATCAATTGTTTGTTTCTAGGCCTCAATGCACTGCCGTTGATGGCAACCGAGACTTCGCAGTTCCTCGTTTCTGAAGTTATGCAAGTAATAATACAACTATTACAACTAAGAGCATGGAAGATGTAAACGAAAATTGTAAATGTTGAGAATGATTTGCATATTGATTGGAAGGAGAAATTTTTCAGTGTACACCAAGAGTTATAATACAAAT